TAGTCTACGAGGAGTGTATCCCAAATTACAACTTCCTCCCTGCGATGATATTTCATTTGGACTGCCTTCTCTGCCTCCTCAGAAAACGAGAGTAGACCATCTCCTGGACGCCTCTTATCTACTCTAATCATTCTGTGTTCTTCAGGTGTGGATTTTTGGCGGTTCGTTTAGCACTGGATCCTCTGTCCTCAGCGTCTACGATGGGCGCTTCCTCTCTACCCGTCAGAATGTAATTGTGGTAACAGTGAATTACAGATTAGGACCATTCGGTTTCCTCTACCTCAACTACTCTGGAGTAAGTCCTGCTTTTGTCCCTCGCCCCCTCCCCTGAGGGATCGCTCGGTTTATCGCCAGTACCGTTTTAGCTCGTCACTTTACTAGAAGGCATGTATTTAAAGACCGACATCCTAGCCTTCTTTGTAATGTCCCAAAATAGTCACTTTTACATTCACACTAAAGTTTTCCTTCCTTCTTCTTAAAGATATATTTCTAGATTTTGGTTACCATTTCATGATATCGCTCACTGATTATCCCCAGTCTTTCAAATAACTCCAAAAACAACTCACGCGGTGTCACGTCAGGTGCTATCGGCGAAAGGGGATTTTAAAACTGCTTAATCTCCATTAACAGCACGTCTTATTCGTTTTTCTAACGGTTTGCCCTTGATGTGCGCTCGCGCTGTGACATCTCAGTGTGGTGCCGCCCCTTCGAGTTGAAAACTTTGCGTGAAGCCATTTTCTTCTGAATATTTTGGTCATTTAACTTCAAGGTAAATGAGATTTCTCTCTGAAAATGTAGATACATTTGAATCATCTCCGGGTTATTTTTGACGGCCTTCTTTCGCTCGAAGACAAGTTGAAAGTACACGCAGTGTGTTCCTTTGAGGTCCGTCTGTTGCATGTGAAGTCTTTTCGTTCCTTCTGTGAAGACTTTGCTTGTTGCCTCGAAACAAATGACATCTTTGAGCAGGCCACCACCTCTGGGCTGCGAGGACACCCTCTTAAATTGCATGTGCCTGGGGCAAGATTTGACACAAGAAAACTCTTTTATTCTAAAAGAGTAATTCAGGCATGGAATGCCCTTCCTGCGGACATTGTCCTGTCCCCATCCGTGGACACCTTTAAGCCACGTGCCTGTCGATGTTGGTCGGGCTCGAATGCCAAGCTTCGAGGAATTCTCTCGTATTAGCCATGGCGATCATCTCGGTGCCATTCCAACTGAAGCGGTGATCACACTCAGTGGATTTATTTTGCTTAATACTTTTACTAACTCTACCCCTTTATATTATTGTACACGCCTGATGATGAATTAATCGAAAAAGTTCGTTCGCCTATCTTGACTTCTTGAATGCTTAAATGGGTATCATCGCTGAACTCAAATTCATTATTATTTCTTAATCTTCCTAAATGCATTCACATTGGTATTCGAGTAGTTCTAAATCTTCCTAAATGCATTTACATTGGTATTCGAGTAATGATCAAACTTGTACAAAGTTATGAAAACTGCATGGTCTATGGCGACTACTGTATACTTGTTTTCAGCCCCTGATACTCCTTCTAAATAGACTGGATATGTAAAGTTAAGAATAAAAATCATTCATTTCTCAGGTTATGATATCGTGTATACAATTAAATCGAACCTCACAGAAGGAAGAATGTGTAAATGCTTTCTTCCTTACCTATAACGAAAAGTTATGGAGATGACACGTGGTTCGACATTGCTGAAAAAATCTTTCAAGTCATCCTGAGAGAGAGAGAGTTGAAGAACAGGAGGGGTTGAACGCGATAAAGGAAACAGGGGCTAACTAACGGAATTTTTACTTGTTTGCCTTCACAATATTACCTCGTTCTACGTTGGGTTTGCCAGATGCAGATACATGGATAAGAAGGAGTACAAAGAGGTTGGCAGATAGATTCACAGTAATCGCTTGCGACCATGCTACAGGCTCCCCTCAAAATCCATGCTCGTTGTTCTGGGGCAAAAAATGAAAATGTTTGCATTGAAAGAGGAGGAGGAAGAGGAGAGTGGCCAATGCTTGCGTGGATACAGGTCTACTATTGCTTTATGTTCACGTCTCCGATGAAGAATCCGTGACGGATGTCGAAACGTCAGGCGAATAAATGCGTTGCCCCATCGATCGAATCTTCTTCTTCGTCTTCCCAATCTGCTGTTAGTTAAAACGGACGCGGCATGTTAAAGCTGAGATGAAGGGGAATAAAGAACACCAGGTTACTATTAGTAGAACGGTTCCTATATCAAAAGGGGAGACTTTTGCGCAGCCAACGCTATACCATTGAGCTACCATTGTGCCTCGTAGGTCAAATTTAGAGCATCTATAAAGCGCCAGATAAGGGGTTGCGGTGTGCGATATGAACGCAAACGGTGGACCAAAG